AAACAGCCTGGAAATTACTTAAATGACCACATGTGGGTCCCAGGGACTCAATATATCAATGTTGTTCACTGTTCAATCACTGTTTATCGGTTTTGATTAACATTACCTTGTGTTTAGTCTGCTCTTTGGACTGGATGCATACATAGACTGGATGCTTTCTGCTGAGATGCTGAAGCATTAACATTGTGCAAGTTCTTGTAAGCTAGTTTGGATTTACATCAGACACACTGTACAGTTTTCATTTTGTTTCAGCTTTAAATGATCCCAAACTTTGGACACTGTTGTTTTCTCTGACCTGTCTCTTTGCTTCATCCTTAGCTGTTGTTCCTCTCTTTCTCTGTTTTACAATTTCGCACCATCCAATCAAGTCACCTCTCCATAACATAAGGGCATTGTGTGACAGCAGCAATCACTTGTTTGAATCACAGTGCGCTGTATATAGATAAATAGAATAGATAAATTTTGCATCGATGAGTTTTTTAGCCCTGCTCTCAAAAAACAACCCATCTCTGATTAGTAGAGTTTCAAAGTCTTCTGCATCTTGTAGTCTCTGAACTGTCATTGCAGCCAGAGGAATTACTGTAATGGAGAAAAGCGGCACTTTCTACCATTTTTTTATATATATATATATATATATATATATATATATCTCTTTAAAAAAGAATCCCTAATAAGAGCTTCCAGATACAAAGGAACATGTTCCAGTGTGAGATTATGTTTCCCTGATGTTTGCTTGTAGCTTCATGTAGCAGTGTAAGCTACGCAGTGTGAACACTTGGGGTAGTGTGCCTGGATGAGCATGTAAAGAAATATGTCATGATCTGACGTTATCTTGTAGCTCAAGTAGAAAAAATGTTGAGACAGATTCTCAAAACTGTCTGAAGCCAGGAGTTTTTGCTCACAGGGATTATGTCTTCCATACATTTACCTCTTAATTTGAAACAAGGGATGCACTGATTTATCAGACAATATTGACCTTGTTGACTGTGAACAGCCTGTCTGCAAATAAGATGACGTTGAGCGATGGCAGTGGCTGATGTTTCTCCGTTGTGCTAAATCACTTGGACAGGCTAAAAAGCAGGGTTCAACAGCGCCCTGTTGTCCTGGGGAGAAAGGATTTTTTTGGGGGGCATTAACAGAGGTCTTTCCTGAGATGCCGTGAGGATGAAGGATGCTGTAAACTCACTATCGACACATAAATGGATGCACCCTATAGTTTTCCCACATAATGCTACATTGAGAACAACAAATCCATGTTGACACTGTCAGGAGGAGAGCTAGTTAACATTGGCTATTTGCTGTTAGTGTAGTGGTTGTGTACTCTCTCTTGCATTGTGTATAATCACGAGAAAAATCAGTCATGAAGCACTGTTGGTACCCGCCGTTTATTCCTGCATCTGGCAGAGGAAATATTTTCACAGTCAGTCTTGGCCTCATTCATACACGTGCTCTCACTCTGGGAATATCAAATAAAAAAGGAGTGCAAGTTAGCTAAACCCTGAGTTATGCTAACCACGTTACACACAAATAATTAAAAACACTGTCAACTTTTACGGAAAGACGTGCTCAACCGATCGGGAGCTCCAGTCTTACAAAAGGTAACATACACAACCCCTTAGATATAAAGTTAAGATAACTAATACAAAATAATTACGGAGCTGATAACATGTGCACCTACCAGGGAGACAGCGCAGCCAAAGTGTTGCTATTTTCCGGGGTACATGACCCTAGTCTGCAGGTGTGTTGTGTTCACTGACCATAAAATAAATCAGTTTCAGAGAAAGTAAAATAAAGCAGTGTGAGCCATGGTAAGTGGGATCATACATACTGTATATTAACTCCATTACATTAGGAGTTTGCAAAGATACATAAAGCTCTTCTGTAAAAATGAGTTTTGGGCGAAGGTAAATGATAACATTATGATGTGTTCAAATGTAATCTTGTAAAATTACAAGAAACTTGTTTAAATACAGTTGGTAAAGGAGAAATTTGTTTGTTTTCACAGCAATATGAAATAGATATTAGAGAGGGAGTTATTTTATTTGTAGTAAAAAGGCTTATGAAGCAGTTTCTGAAGACCTTTTTTTTGTGACAGATGTATTAAAAGGTTGTCTCATCAATGTGTATGATTGAATTTAAAGGTAGTGTAACAAAGACCTGAATAACTTTAAAACAGTTCAGTTTTTTACATTTAAGATTTGTTTCCCTGTCACAAAAGGGGAAATGAATGACAACCAAAGCAAAATAAACGACAACAAAATAGCAGTATCAGATATTAGAAAAAGTGGCTATTGGCCAAATTGTTGTTTTAAACATCACTATGGGCCCAGAATTTCACAACTGGTGCATCCCTGTTAAGAAACTTGAAAGCACAGTAACATTGTACATGTCAGAAAATAAGTAAAAGCATAATGGGTCCCCTCTAAGTTTTTACTTTTTATCTTTTAGATTTGATTGACATACTGTAGCATGGCAGCTTGTACAGTTCCCTCGCTTTTGACATCTGCCTCAGCGTCCCTCTGCAAGTCATTGTCTGGGTTAATAAACTGTTGGTTAAGAAACAAACCACATGACTGCAGCATCCACAATTTAGTTCTGGCTGGACTTTTCTTGCATGTCATACCCCTCTCAATTGCTCTCCCTATGTTTCCTGTCTTTCTCTGCACTTTCCTGGCAAATACTGGCAAAAATGATGGAAAATTAACATCAGCTACTGAATTCTATTCTCTCATTCTTCTCTGTGACTCACATACCCATGACGGCCTCCCTAAGACATTTTTAGCATCTAATGGCGCTGCTCTGATAACACGTTGTCGGCAGGTGTATTAAGATATCCTACTTTTTTTAGGTCCTGTAACACTACTGTCACTGATACATTTCTTAATATATTATTTCTCCTGCAGATTTCAGACGGCAAAGCTTTAAGCACTGCAATGAGAAGATATTTTCTTAACTCTTAGGTTGCATGTTTATGAATGAAACTGACACACTGAGCAGAATGGGTGGCCTGCAATTAAGTAATTGTGGGCCATTGATCATGCTACTGGTCAAATCTCACAAATGTGTACCTCCTCACGAACATGTGGCATTCATCAAGTTGAAACAAGCAAATTACATTGAGTGTGTGCAGTTGGTGATTGCAATAAGAGCAAGCCTCACAGAAAAATGAGGGGTTTAGGATCAGAAAATGAAAGTGTTACTGCACTGAAACTAATTTTTTGGCTCACTGTTCCCTCCCTGTCTTAGGGTTTTGATGAGTACATGAACCTGGTTCTAGATGATGCAGAGGAAGTCCACATGAAGACTAAGAACAGAAAGCCGCTGGGTAAGGGCACCCTTCATTTGATATGTGTTTTTTTGTGTTTCTTTGTGTCTGTGTTTAGCATTGATTTGTACACATGCATATCACCACACTTGATGCTGTCCCATAGACAGTTACTGACCTCTTCTATGACACATCAGGCTTGGATGTTAGTTCTTGTACAGTAAACAACATGGTGATTGTTTGTGTGTGTAAAATTAATCACAGCAATAACAAAAAATATCCTGTGAACAATTTTTTTTTTTTACCCCAAACATTAAAAATGCCAGTGCTGGTTTAGTTTTTTCTGGGGCTGGCAAAACACTTTTTTTTCACTATGAATATATTAAACACGCTATAGATACATTTGGGAATGGACTAATTCAGTCTCACCGAGCCCACACAAGGAACACCTTGCCACCCACGTTTTCTTTCACAGACCCAGAAAGTAAAATACCAACTGTACTATTCCATTACCAGTGTGTTTTCCTAATGAATGTGTTCCTAATGAACACACCTTAGCTTTGAGTGGAAGCCAGACATTGTACAGATCCTTCACGTACTGTGTACTAGGTTTACTATCATTTGTAACACTTGGCACTTTCTCCTTAAGTGAAGTGAAACTTTATCTCTTTCCATCTGTCATCTTGCTCTTCTGATCATTCTCCACTTCTGTGTCTCACAGGGAGGATCATGTTGAAAGGAGACAACATCACCTTGTTGCAGAGCGTGTCCAACTAGGACAAGGGAGACACCCAAGAATCTCACCTCTCCGAGAATCCCATCCCATCTTATCTTTCCTAGAAAGAAAGAATTTCCCATTTTTGTTTTGTTTTTGCAAATGATGTTGGATATGTTTGTGTTCATATAACATGAATGTTGTGTTTGATTTATGTTTTTGAGAATAAATTCGTTTTTCTTATGGCGGTTGTTTGTATTTTAACTTCTCAAAGTGTTTCTCAACTTCAGTTTGCAGGAGTATGTGGGTCATTGGGCTGCAGGACCATCTAGTGGCAAACTCCTATATTGCAGTGTACCTATGTAGGTCAACCCTCAGTGCCACATACATAATAGAAGACAAATGTACATTTACTTCACAGATACTTAATGAGCCTGCTTGTGTTTTATAGGGGGACTTTGACCTATAATGTTACATAGAGTTTTGGAACATGACGCAGTTACATTGTACTTTTTGATACAGTGTAAAAAGGATTAAAAAATAATCACAGCTGGAAGCATGGCTGCAGATTTGCCCGAATACAATCATGTCCACATTGTGCATTCCATACAGGTCCCATGTGATATGCGTTATATTTTCAAGCTCAGTGTTTCTGATCCGTTTTTATTGGACGAATATGAATACATGGACAAATCCCTGGGTGTAAGTTTCCTACGAGGTGGGTGGAACACATTTGCAACTGTGTCACATCAGCAACTATTTACAAACCATACTATTTAAGGTTCATTTCCAGATTGTATAATACGCTTTGTATTCAGACTACTATAAATGACCAGTGTTTTTAAATGCTGAAAACAAAGACTACCCATTGAGCCATTAGTTTTGGGGTTTTGGTCGCAGATAAAGGGAAGCAGCCTGGTTGTAGTGAAACGTACCAACGTAATTACGTAGTGCAGCAGCACGCACGCGACGTGTCCCTGTTCTGTTGACTGGGAAGCCCCTAGTGCGGAGCTGCCAACGCCCGGCGTAAAGACACAAACAGAGGATACGGTACGGAAAAAATGCATTTTCTTGTCAATATTAGGTTACATTTGTGGTTGTTTTTTAGTTTGTATATTGTCATCATCATCTATGGTGTACGTATGTGCTACATGATGTGTAATTTTCAAATTGGATATCTCATTCAGCAACAGCATCCGCTAAGGTTAGCTGAGCCAGCTAGCTAGCAAGCTAATTGAGGAGGACAGTAGTTAGCCAAGCAGGCAGACAGGCAGTCTGTAATATTGGACCGGCTCGTAAATAAACCTGTGTGACGTGAGGCAGCCGTATTTCAAATCCGATTCATTGGGGATTTAAGTATTGTGAGAGTTTGACATTTCTATCGCCTTCGACTAGAGCAGTAAATAGAAAAAGATGTAAATAGCTGCTCACGGTTAGCTGGTACCGAGCGGAATAAGGAGGCGTAACAATCGCTAACGCCAGGTCGGTAACGTTACTTTTTATAATCTAAGCAGGGTCAGGGATTATAGTTGTTTAGCGTTATGTTTGGGTGCCACGGTAAAAGTCTGCTATATAGACTGAGTAAAAAGAGAAACAGGTAAGTTAGTTTGTCGTTAGTTTAAACAGCCGGCAGGAAATTAGGCCAGATTGAGGCCGGGGATGTGGCCAGAATACAACAGCTAGGGCATCTAAGCTAACATGAGCTTTTAATGGTAGCAGTCTATCAGGTGGGATCTTTAAGTGTCTTGTTATGTAGTTAGCGATAATTACACGTAAGGCTAATAGTAACAATTTCTGTCACTACTCGTGGTCGCACAGTCAGACGTGTCATAAATTATGAGGACACTAAAGTAATCGTAAAGGAATATTTGGAGAACTCGTCACTGATTTTGTGTCGACGTCTAAAAGAAAATACTTGTGATACTTAGCTCTTTGATTTGAAGTCTCCTTGTGTAAAGTTTCAGTTGACCAGATGCCCCAGGTTTTTCGACTGGAAGTATTTGCTTGAGGGCATCACTGAAACTTTGTGTCAGATAACAGTGAGTTAGTAGGATGCTGAGGAAATGTTACCAAATCTGATGTAATGCAGGCGTGAAGTTATGTGGATGCAGTGATGTTTGGATCCGTAGTTGGCAGAACAATTGTTTATTTTTCAGTAGAAATGCTGACTGGTCAGACTAGATGATTTTATGAGAGTTTTACCAGACGTCTTGCTGCATGCAGTTGTTTTCAAATGAGCTTGAGTTGTGGGTAAACTGCAACATTAAACTGAATGTCAGCTGCTTTCACTACTACTCTTTAAGCTGGCCTGCCCTCAGTGTGCTAGCTGGCCTACAAACACAAATGCGTGGATTAAGTCTAGAAGCATTATTGCGGCTGCAGCCACCCTCTGTTGCCCATGTCCATCGGCTTACTGCAGCATTTAGCTGAGAGTTAGTCAACTTAGGTATCATACTGCAGGGCAGTATGATACCTAAGTTCATACACTGTTGTACGAATGTAACAGTGATCACCATACAGTGAAACTAGCTGTTCATTCATTGGCCAAAGTAGCAAAAGGATTCTTCCAGACAATGTCAGGGTTTTCCCTTACTTAACAATTAGATGTTGCCTCAGGCACAGCTTTACTTGATTTTGTGGGTTGGAACGTCACCTGAATACCATCCCAGTAAAGGCCCTGCTTTACCTGTAGACATTTTGGGAGAACCCCTTGTTATGAGCACAATTTACAACCATGTTTGTAACACACATACTCTGAAGTATGCTCTGGGCTTTTCAATTTTCATTTTAATCTAAAAGTAATCAATTAATGATTGTTTTGCTTGAATACTTTGATTACATTTTAATCACCTAGGTGTCAAATTCTTAGGTTATGTGCAACACAAGTCACCAGAGCATAATATCTGCCAATGAAGTTCAGATAACAAACAACAGATTCACTTCTAATTTCATAATGATGCAACAGAGTCAGTTGCTCATCATAGCGCCCAGAGTTTAATCGGTGACCAAGTTTTCTGTTGGATGAATGCTTCCCCTATAATTGTACAGGCCCGGTGGGCTGCCAGGACAACGAGAACCCTGCTTGGCCAGAAAATTCCTTTTTAAATGTCAAAAATAACACCAGAAATTCATTCTTTTGGAAATATGTGGTTTGCATTTCCGGGCCTCTGTGCAGCATTGATTGGAAATATAACTTATGTGCACTCATTTCATTTCAGCATAGCATGAGAGTCTTAACTGGATTTTGATATCGTTTACAGACTCCACTCTGTGTTTCTCCAAGTGTGGCACTTTGCCTGTCCACACACAGGCACAGGAGAGGAGAGTCAGGTGAAGTAAACATTGCTCGATGTGAAGACAACTCGTTACATTGCGTGCAATAAATGGCTTATAGCTAGGCACCCCATGAAAAGGCACAAATTGAGATGATTAGTCACGTTGAACACTACCCTTGCCAAAAAACACTGATGAACTCTGCCCACTTTACTGTGCTCTCTTAGAGGCAAGGCGTAGGGTTTTGATGTCCCTCTATCTACTCTATGTCCCTATGTGTCGTGTTTACACGTGCCTCCGCCATGTTCTGTTTTTACCAACAGCTGCTGGCTGAATTCTAGTTGCTGCAGCTGTTAAAGGGAAACTTTGCAAAGTGTGTGTAGATTAAGTGTGTTTCGCTGTACTTTTGCCTGCACACACTGCAATGAAACAGAGCTGGTTAAAAATCAGTAAAGGTTTCCTCTAACTACCCATAGTGCTGTTTTTCAAGCTACTGTTGCTGTCGTATTCCATGGAGTGGCCTGACCACCCCCTCCTTCCCTGTGGGATCAGCAAACTTTCTGGCTGTGTAGTCTTTGAGTTGAGGAGTGAGGCAGAGGGACTGCAGGCTACATCCACAGGTGGGCTTGCTAGCTTGCAGCAGTCTCTTTCAATGGTGCTGGCTAGCAATAGGTGAGGAGTCAGCTTAATCAATGATTATGATAATATTGTGATGAAACTTGTGATTTACACCACGAGTAATAAATTGGGTTAGCATCACCAGTCGGTCATGTTAGTATGACAAACAGTCAATATGGACATTAATAATGCCTTAATGGCTTTTAGAGGCAAAAAAACTCGACTGTCAGCATAACAGACAGATGAACCCATCAATATTACACAGTCTTTTTCTGATTGTTGGCCAATGGATAGTTTTTATGCTTTGGAGTGTAGTGAGCTTGTCTCAATATCCTAGACTGCTGTGCAGTGCCGTTTTTATTGATTCTTTAAAGTGGCATGTTTTAACCTTTTCACATCTGTATTTTTACTTTTAGTTACAAAGTTTAGTCTGTAGTCAGGGTAACCTTTCCTGAGTCTTTGCTGAGAAACTGGCCTTTAGTCAAGGTTGCAAGCTGTTGAGTCTGCGCCTCAGTCTGGGCTGCCTCCACAAATTGATTAGGGCTAGCTGGCCTTTACCAGAAGCACCTCTGCTCTCTAATCATATTTTATTTTAGTATTCTACCTCAACATCTTGTACAGCAAAACCTTGTGTTTTTGACCAGATGTTTCTTCTTCTTCTTTTTTTATTTTTTTGCCTTGTACTTAATATGGAAAATGTTTTTGTAGGGTGACGTAAGATATGGAAAAAATATTTTTGGTATCAAAATGTGTCCAGCGGTATTGGAGAAATGTTTCTATAGCTTGCACTGGTTTGATTACATTGAAAATAGACCTTAAAGTACAGACTTGTATGAAGTAGGGGTAGGAAATGCCCCTTGGCTTCCTCTCCCAGCTCCTACCTGGAAAATATTGGGAAAGAAATCAGTGTACTCTACAGCAGGATGACACACTCATGTTGACAAGATCTAAATTGTAATTTGATTCAACTACAGATGTGTAATCAGCCTCAAATTTCAGACCACTTTGGTCTGTCGTTTCCATTAAACATGTATCAAATACAGTATAAAGGCAGATGTATTGTTATATGGCTGTAACAGAGATCGCCAGTGCAACTAACTGTTCTTTCACTAATCTAACATAACAGCTATTTTGCAAAGGCTTTATTAGTATGCTGAAGAAATCTGCGCCATCGTATTCTCTGTGTTTCTGCAGGACATCCACCTGTGTTCTGTTCCCTTGTTAAACCATGTTCACACCGTAACATTTGGCGTCTGCAGCTTTGTCCCTCTTGCTTTACTCAGTGACACCCCCACCCCCACACAGTGGTGCAGAGCTCTGCAGTGGCTTGGCACTGACATACTGTAACTTGTGGAGGAGAAACAGGGGAATACTGTGGTCCACATACTGCATATAGCCTGTTTTCTCTAAATGCACAATGCATCACCGTGCATCACGATGTTCTCAGATTCAAGGCCAACCTTTATTATTATTTTACACATCACAAAGGCCCTTTTCATTGAAGGCATTTTGTCATGTGACAGCAGGAAAAGCGCAGGTGTGAATAATAAAATCACTGGGTTGCAACTAATTATTATCAATCTACCAAGTATTTACCCAATTAGTCCAAGCATTTGCTCAATATGTCCCACAGGCCAAAACCCAAAGACATTCAGTGTACAATTCAAAGTAAAGCAGCTGGTTTGAGTATTTCAGCTTTAGCTGAATTTAGTGCAGCTGCTTGAGTCTCAGAGTCCTGGTGTTGTTCACACTTGCTCACTGTCACACTGCCATGGCATACGCATGAATAGAGCAGAGCCATGGTAAATGTAGTACACAAGTAACACCTGTGCTCCTCCGACTGTGATCAGTCAAAGGATTTCTTGTAGGCATTGTTGTCCTCCCTCTGGCGGCTGTGGGATCTTGATTGCTGACTTGCAGCTAAACAGGCAACCTTTAATGACAATGTTGCTGTTTGGATTCTCACAACTGTTGTGTAATCATTATTATTATTATTATTATTGTTGTTACTGACTCTGTTTCTGCAACGACTTCACTTATTGCTGTGATAACTAAAGTTAGAGTTAGCACTTGTTGCTTGGGGAGCCGCCATTACTGTTCAGCATGATGCGGCCTGCACTTTACGTCATCAACTACAATGCAGTCCCTAATTGGCTGCTTACGTTGTCAGCTGTGCAGCAGATCCCTGATGGGCCCTGAATGGGTTTTAATTTCTGGAAAGTGTTTGGGGTGGGACCAAGTCCAGAGTGATACAGAGAGTGAAACAGAATGTTGAGCTCACGTAATCAGGATGGTCTTACAAGTATACTCTGTCTGTACTGTACTCATTTTGTCCAGTTTACAGATTCCCAACTCAAATGAGTTTTAATAGAATTGTTCTAGAGGAAAAAAAACAGTTCGGCTCAATTATGTGAAGAGATTGAGCATGAATCCCCTTTTCCACCAGAAGCATTGAAGCTGACTGCCATGGCACAGTTCTTAAGATATTGACAAGTTGTGAGTATGTTGTCCATGCTTTATTACATGTTAATATAAGACCCTATGAAGTATCAGTTAAGGTTCATATGATCTGTTGTTTCTTGATGCCTCTATAGTGTCAAACCAACACGAGTAATGACTGGATTTCCAATCTGTTTTGTGGCAATTGAGTGCAAGGGAGTCAACCCCAGTCTGGTTGGTTTTTCTTTCCTTCAGTGTTTTCCTCCATCCAAACACTCTGAATACCGTGACAGCACAGCCAAAAAAAAAGTGTGATGACTATGTGAAGCACATTTATACTGTGTCATTTGTCACCCAAATAGACCCACAGTCACCAGCTGTGGGTCTACACGATCCCTCAATCCTTTAAATTACAAAACCTCATTTGGACATCTGGACACTTCCATTGACCCTGTGGTTGATCAGGATGCTCCAGTTATTAATCTGTGACTGAACAAGGTTATCTCCCCATAAACATATCCATTTCAAATAGATAATGACATTCTTTCTCTGGGCTTTGGTAACCTCAATTTTCAGATTTAGGTCAGGGTCCTATTTTATAGTTATGTTGAAAAATGCTCTTACCAACAGTTTCTCGTTGACAAGTAATCAAAATGCCATCTGGTGTTGAGCTTTCCAGGGTCTCCCCCGGAAAACTTGAATGTCCCCTATGCACTTCTGCTTCTTCGTCCTGTCGAAACAAGTCTTTTTTACGGAGAGACTGGGCTGTAGGCCCTCAACGAAGTCCCTTCTTTACACGCCCCTTGCATTTTTACACAGAACCCAGCAACGACAGCTTCATTCTGCTCTGGTGTGCTGTTATACACTGCATTCTGCAGTCACCCAATGAAAGAGGCATGACAGGCCTGATATGAAACACAGTAGCTTCAGCCACTAGTGTGACATCTAACATATACGTCGTCAGGGCTTTATAAACAGTAACAAAGGCATAATGTGGCAAAAGCAATCATTTACCATCCCTGTCCTATGGCAGCTGATCTTGTCCTCCAATTGCAGGGTAAGGAGCTCCCCAACTGCAGTGTGCTCCCAGTTTGCATACATTTTTGGCTGCTGATCTTCTTAGTTAGCTGCTATGTGCTGACAGCTACTTTTCAAAATCATAACACATTGTCAGAACTTCACACCCATGCCACCTGTTATCCTGTCGTGCACACTGCCTGCTTAGAAGATGAGTCGTTTCAGCTCTGTTGCTACTTTCATTCCTGGTTCAGAGGCAAGACCACTCTGTCGTGGCATAATGGCGTGATATTCCCACTCTAAACGGGCACTGTAAAAGGGGCTACAATGTCGACGCTGCCAATAAAGTGCTAATTTAGACCTAAGTAATCCACAAAGATTTGAGGCTGGGTGTTCCCAAGGCACTTATAATAATAAGGTTAAATGAGTGAATGCTAAAGGGGGTAAAAAAATCTACAGGCTGTAGTTGTTACCTTTTGCCCATAGTGACTTCACTGGTGATCAACTAATTAACTTTCCTTTCTATTTATTTGTCTGTTCCAGATCTTGAATGAATAGTGAAGACTGTAAAACACAGCTATGCAGACCATCAAGTGTGTTGTAGTTGGGGACGGTGCTGTAGGTAAAACCTGCCTGCTCATCTCTTACACCACAAACAAGTTTCCCTCTGAATATGTACCTACGGTAAGTGTGTTAATGCCCGTTTGTGGGCCTCAATATGTTCTTTCTTTTAGTTACCACATGCTCACAGTTGGCAGATGCTGCTAATTTCCATGGAGCCTAATATTTTCTACCTTTGTAGCTGTGTTTGTAATTCTGATGTAATTTTGATGTTATGAGTTAATTTAGAGTTAATCAATATCATAGTGTTTATATGTTTTTAGCTTTGGTTAGCATGCTGCCAATTGACTAATATTGAAGGGAAACATTGCCAATTTTTAACCAGCTCTGTATCAATGCAGTTTGTGCAGATGAATAATGTTAAGCTTTCCTTGTGCCTCAAGTGCCCAGAACTTCCATGCCAAGAAGTGCCCAGATCCTAGCAGGTGATGTGGAATGTGTCATCGATGACACAAAATGCATCACCTGGCTGACCTCTGCCGGCAAATGAGTGGGGATATCTGGGCACTTGCGACGTGGGGCACGCCAAACACTGTTCATCTGCACACTGCAGTGACACTGAGCTGAGCCTGTCAGCCTCACTACAGGCCATGTCATTGTACATGCACACTCAATTGAAAAGTCTGAATTAAGAAAGCCCAAGCAGTGTGTCAGGTGTTAAGATGGGTCACCCCAGCTTTTTTTAGCTAGCATCCCAGAGCCTGGTTATATCAGGTATTAACATGCGTTTCGGGATCCGAACACAAGTGGATTGCCATAACACATTGCCGTTCAAACCTGTGTCTATCATGCTGACTGCTTGTGTTCAGATTTTGTTACTGCCTAAGTCACTTATGCTAGAAAGTGAAGTGGCCCCACACACAGTTATTATATTTACTCATGCTTGTTGTTCGCTAGTGTGCAGCAGAATTAAACATTTCTCCTTCCATAGGGCAACCAAAACAACCATCACATCCTGCAATGATGATGTCCTTGTCAGGGATGCATCAGGAGGCGTTAGTGTTCACATTAGAGAAGATGTGTCATCAAATGCATCCCAGACCACCTTGCCAAATAGTTTGATTAATCAGATCATAATGTGTTTTGGTGGTTGTTTACACTTACATTTAGTGCTGGTCCACATGTGATCACCCCATAGGCATGTTAATAGCAGATATAAACAGGCTAACTGATTATTTTATTTACGAGTTTGAAGAACCTTCCAGATCACATGCTGTTCTGTCCTATTTTCTCTGTTGTACTTTGAAGTAGCAAACCACTGTTGACCTCCTGCTGCTCGATTAAAGTTTGTATGTGAACGTAGCTACCTGAAACAGTTTGAGTTGTGTCAGTTAGAACCTGATGCATGAAGATGATCAGTTTAAAAGATATTGAATGTGAAAGTACTTATATTATTTTCAACATATCTCTAGACTCCAGTGGTGATAAAATATATACATAATTCACTATTAAGCAAATGAGCTAACTGTTGGTTTTGGTTTGTGTTTCGTAGGTGTTTGATAATTATGCTGTAACTGTAATGATTGGAGGAGAGCCCTACACTCTGGGCTTGTTTGATACAGCAGGTACGTCTTTCCGATACCAACCATCACTTGTGTAGTGCTATTATTCCAGTGTATCCAGCTTATGTAACTGTAACTGATTAAGCCATTGTCATTTTATACATTTTGTGTTTCTGTGATGTTGAATGGAAATCATAGAAAAAGTTGTCTTCCTTCACTTTCCACCCACATGCTAACTTTTGTAAATGTAGGGTGTGCAGGGATTTGCTTTACTCACCAGCCAAAGATTTTGGAATCCAACAGCCACAGTGGCAGAGGGACAAAAAAATGAAATTTCCAACCCTGGGTGTGTTTGATGGCTCTTAAACTTAACACTGAGGATGCCCTGTTTTTTGGTGCCGTGCCTGGTTCTACCAACAAAGATACCCTGCTTTGTTCATTGTGTCACTGCTGGTAATGATGCCCAGACTGTGTGAGTTAAACATTTTTTATGGTGTTTCTCCAGGTCAGGAAGACTACGATAGGTTAAGACCTTTGAGTTATCCCCAGACAGATGTCTTCCTCGTCTGTTTCTCCGTCGTGTCCCCCTCCTCCTTTGAAAACGTCAAAGAAAAGGCAAGTCAAGCCCTTCCTTTTTATTTTCTTGCTACTGGTCTTTTTCCCAGTCTCTTGTGAAATATGGGTTCTTTTTTTTTTTTTAAATATCCTAAAATACTCAGTTAATGAATAAACAGTAAGATAGATATTTTAAAATAATCACAGACTTGTGATTTGTCATTTGCAGCCTTTTTTTTTATTTTGACAAGTTTAGCACAGGGCCTTTATTTTATCAGTTGCTGTGCAGATTGTGTTGTAGGAGCTGGTCAGTGACCAATCAATTTTGATTCAATGTAAGCAGAAACAATCTAGTTGGCTACCTGTCCCTATCCTATTTTAAACAGGTATCCACTAATTTACAGTAAAATGTTAAATGCTTGTGATGCAGTGTGTTGACCGTCGCATAACCCTGTTTTTGTGTATACAGTGGGTTCCAGAGATCACCCACCACTGTCCAAAGACCCCCTTCCTGCTAGTTGGGACTCAGATTGACTTGCGAGATGACCCATCCACTATAGAGAAGCTGGCCAAGAACAAGCAAAAGCCCATCACTCCGGAGACAGCCGAGAAGCTGGCAAGAGACCTCAAGGCTGTGAAATATGTGGAGTGCTCAGCCCTCACGCAGGTAATATATATAAATATATACAGTCACACATACATACACTCTTGGCACACATGATCCACACCTTGATAGCAAGAACTAAGAAAAAGGAGGAAAGAGGAACATGACCACACCCCCCTGGCCTGTGCACGCTCTGGTTAATGGGTTTTATTCTGCATGCCAGTTTGGTTTCAGTCACTGTTCTTATGAGCTCGGTGGTATTACTAATTATAAATTATTAGACGTTTTTCATATGGCTTAAAAACCTTGCCTAAGACCGCAGTGCATCCTGGGTCCTGTAAGCTATCAGCTTTTAGCTGAGAGTGGTGTTTCCCAGGGTTTCTAGTAAGGAGGGTCAGGCAAGGTGTTTCCTACAAGCCTCTCCACCACAGAAGTCCAGCGAGAGGGACACTAATCTGGTCTTGTGCACCTTTTTCCTGGGAGTCTCCCAGTACAACGTGACCTTTGGCTGTGTCCTCAGATCTGCTTCCTATACCTGGAGTAAAAAGTGTACTGCTTGTGTCTATAATTTGAGAATGGACACAGTGCAGCTTTGAAGGACAATGTGTGACAAAATGTTAAGATATCAAGAACTTTACAAAATAGCTTCAGTTTTTCTTTGGGAGCAACATGTCTTCTAACGTGAAAATGCTGCGGTTTGTGAAGTCAAATAGAGAAGCTATGTTTTTCGGGAGAGTGGCTGTGGTTGTGCAGGCAAACCTTTTAATGAAAATTCAGGGCTCAAAATACCACATGCACTGTAGTGCATGGAAAATCTGAACTGTGCATGTAATTGTCAGCTGTTAATGCACTGGAGCACAAAACTGTTTAGAGTTGCCAACACACTGACAGTGAGACTCATACAAATGACAGTTTCCACATGCCACACAGCCATTTTCTGAGATGGTGAAAAATAAACTTATAACTGATTACACTGCAAAGAGAAAAAAGACAAGACAGCAGCACAGAGTAAAAGCATCACTGTAAGACACAGCAGTCAAGCGAACCACTGTTTGCAAAAACCCTGTTAGGCCAGCTGCTTGGATTTTGATGCCCGTCTATTCATTCTGTTACAGACTGGTAATTGGAGAAGCCAAAAAAGACAAAAGGAGGACTCGCATTTTGGCAATAATCTTTCACATTTATGTACCTAATGAAACCATGAGCTAATTTTTTACAGAGCACAGTGGTTCCTGACAGTGACCAAAAGTAATTTCACCATAGATAGCTGTATAGGGAAAGTGAGCTTAAATGATATTGAAAACACTAAAAAAAAGTCCTCATTTTTAAACTCTTACAAATTAAATAAATCAATGTTTTCCTTCAGAGGTTTGCTGAAAGTTTGAATGTAATCCTGTTCAGGATGACACTGACTTTGATCAAGTAAAATCTGAAGTGGTGGAAGTTCAGAGAATGAAGGAGGAATGCTAGATAATGCAGTAAAAAGAAAAGTGCAACTAATTTTAAAAGTTGCATGCACTTATTCATGTAGTACAGTAATTTGAGTCCTGGAACTGTAATGGCCAGTGTGTGATTAGATCAAACTAATTATATGCTTTTAGAGGAAGTCTTTAAATAATACCAAGAGTAGATGACATGAATTACCATGTCTTAAACTCAATATTAGGTTTAATACTGTGGCAGTCAGTACTTGTGTTAGATTTTCAGATTAATAAATCAGTCTGTGCTTTTGTGCGTTTATCTACTTAATCAATCCTGAGTACTTGTGTTGGCTGTGGTGCATCACTGCTGGAAACTCGAGGAGGAAAGCAAGCAGAGGGAACATGACTCATAGGAGAACAGATGAGCTAGGCCTCACTCAGGCAGAGAACAATAGTGTTGATGGAGTTGAGGCGGAGTCCCCACCTCTCTGCTCTGCCCCTTCCTTCCTCCTCCTCCCCCCTCCTTGGCACAACTGTTGCATAGCTGTTGATGTAATATCCTGTTTCCTGTTGGGGATCTCAGCACTGCACAGTCAACTACGCAGCGACTGCCTTCATCTCAACACTGTCATCTTTGTGCTATGCATCTCCTTCACAAAGACGCCCTGCAATTCATACCTTCTTTGTATTTCACACCTATACTTTCCTACTTGTTCTGCCATGTTCCTCTTACCTCCTCTCCCGTCTATCTCGCTCTGTGTTTGCTGTGCTAATTGTGCTCTTGTTCTCTTCCCTCTCCTGTCATTGTAGCGAGGGCTGAAGAATGTATTTGACGAAGCTATCCTAGCTGCCCTAGAGCCGCCTGAGACGCAGAGAAAGAGGAAATGCTGTATATTTTGAACACTCTGTGCCGCTGCTCTCATCTCTTCCTCCTCTGATTGACATTATCCTCTTCATTTTTCATTTCTCTACCCCATCTCTGTCCTTTCCTCTCCTTCCCTCTCTCCATGTATTTACATGTGCTGCTTTTGAAATCTAGACCAATCCCAGCCATCTGACCAACCAGTCCATCAGTCAGAGTGCATTGTAACTAATCTTTTTTTCATGGCCTGATTCACTGACTCATGTTGGCCTTTCTACACTTCATTGACTTTACTTGTTGCCTTTTCTAACCTGTAACTGCTGACAGTCTGTTTGGTTGGTGTGTTAATGTACTTCATATCTTTCCTCTGGAGTGTTTTATGAAAGCTTAATTTTGTATCATAAATCCTGCACTTCACTACTGTATCATTCCTAGTTTTTCTTCGTTGGCCCAGTGCTTATTGACGTGACCTAGGGCTGGGCGATACGGACTAAAGATCATACCTCGGTAGTTTTAGGCTGAATGCCGATCCACAACACACATCTCTGTGTTTTCTACAAAGTGGGCTAACTGTTTAGTTGTAAGTCAAAGTCATGTGTAACATGTAACAAGCACTTTCATTACAACAGACTGATCAAAATAAAATTCAAAGACAGGGTTTCCCTCTTTATTTCAGTCGATACCTTAAACGTATGGAGTACAGATACCTAGCCCAAAGGATGAGTGTAAAGGTGTCAAGTGAATCCAGTGTAGTTTGAGACTGTTCAGATTCTGTTAGAGGGAGTTTTAAGTCATTTTACATGACCTTTCAAATTAATATGGTACTTAAAAATGCCGACATTGTTTCAAATTTATTCATTTGTTATTATTTATACACGTAGCATGGACAGAGAGAAACTTTGTCTGTGTTACGTCTTGTGTATGAAGTGTCTGTTTTGTCACTGCGCTGCATTTTTATAAACACATCTGTGACCCGCATCCAGATGTCATCTCTGTCTGACCATCGCTTGACAGACAACAGCTACCAAATAGAATAGCTATTGAGTCACCTCACTCACACACACACCAGGTTTGCATGAAGAGAGTGGGGGCGGGGTTGCGTGGTGTGTTAGAGAGGAGAGATGCAAACACTGGTACGACTTTATGAAGAAACTGGTTGTGTAACACAACATCAAACTATATCAACATAAATGCTACTGTCTTGTCTTATATTTTGTTTTATAATATACCTATATCTTAATAGTCGAATTACCGCCCAGCCCTAATGTGGCCCCTGGCCAACAGTGGAGCGACATCTTACAGAGGATGTAGGATGTCATTTGGGATGCAGCCATTGTTTTAGTTAGTCTTCCCCCCCTCTATCCTGTAGTAGTAGTTAATGTGGGGAGGGTTTGGACTGAAGTGAGGGCGGAGGCTTCACATGGCTCCACACTGAGATTGATCTCAACACTAAACAGAGCTTCCATTTCTAATGCTCATGTATTTTTTGTACTAATGTACTACTGATGTTTGATTAAACAGACCTTGGAGTCTGACTATGGTTACATGTAGGGCTTTTAATTACTAACGTCATGTATAGAGAGTTTTGGGCTCAGTTTGTCAGTGTGACCATGCTGATAAAAAGCCCCATGATGGTTCTGCCCCATGGTCAGACAGTACTGTCATGGTCTCATGATGGTTTATAGTGAAGCTACACTTGATGTGTCATGGTTGTAATCTTCTAAAAATGCTTCCTTGCTTACGTGTTTGGCCCAATTTTCTCTATATATGAGACATGTGCCACAGATAATTAAAAAGCTATAATTGTGTGAAATGACCTGTGAAATGAATTAATAAAGGACAAATGAACTTGCTTTCCTCTCTGGCTCCCTTCTTTCCCAGTGCTCTATCAGAGAAGATTTTAGTAGGGTTAGTCAACTGAGTGAAGCAACACCAGGGGTGCTTACTGGTTTACTGTATAGTGCAGCACTGTGTCAGAGCAGCTCTGGTTACTTCACATGACCAGGCTCATGGTGTAAGCAGCTTGGCTCCAGGGAAAATACAAAGAGAAAAGAAACATTCACTTCTGAGGCTGAGAGTAGACCCAGTTTGTGGACCCAGATTAAATATGTTGAATCTGGACGGCCTCTTGTCGTGAGTCAGTCAGCGATTTTAATCTGAAGAGCAGAGCTGATGAAGAAAAACAGGGGGTGTGGAATGGAAATGCTCACATTCCATTTTTGTGTTGTAGCGTCAGAGGTTATGCTGCCTTTTTCCTCCACTTGTTTGACTTGCCTTTGGTTTCAGCTACATTTTGTACTCAGACATGCATGTGATTTGTGTTGTTGACACTTACTCCTTGATGTGGCTCACACTACTAATCACATTTATAGGAAAGCAGAACGTTCTCTTGTGTTTTTGTTGCAGATCTGATCCGATCCTCTTGAAATAATTTACATATTTGTTAAATTTTTTTTTGTCCCCAACAGCACTCTCACATTACAGTGACTATGCTTACATGCACACAAATATTCTGAATTTGACAGTATTCTGAAATTAGTACGGGTCATGTAAACAGCATAATCTATTTGGATATTCCAAAGTAGGCCTTTTTCCGAGCTCGCCATTTCCTGAATAAGATGCGGAATGCGCGGGATTGTGTTGGTCACGGGACATGTTTACAGCACATTCTGAATATGCGTTTGAATAGAGGTTTTTTCAGCTGTTTGCGACACACAGCATCTTTCCTGTTTACAGTCAGCTCTGTGTGTGTCATGGATACGTTGTACACAAACCAACTAGCCAACAGTTTGTAAGGCTGGGGGTAGAGATACATGCCCAAAAGAAAAGCCCATGTTTCTAGTCAGAAGGAGAAACACGCCTACTTTTAAACCGTATGATAGACTTGGATATGAACAGGTTTTTGGATATGCACAAATATTACTACATTGACCTTATTAAGAAAATGGTTGCAGGAATAAAACAGGGAGGTTGTGTTTGCACAGTCGATCATGTCCACCACCAGTGGGAAAAACAATCAGTCAATGACAACAATGGCACAAGAAGCTCCAGCCATTCCAGTTTTCCATATTTTGACGTGATGAATGAAGTATTAGGGCACACGAATCGGAGTATGCACAGCTAAATGCAAACAGCTTTGTAGGAATTTTGTCTTTTTGCGAAATAAGGGCAAAAAACTGAATATTTTGTGCATGTAAAAGTAGTCACTGTCCTAAAGATGTTTAATGCTGCTTTGTTTTCACCCAGTTATTTTCCCTCTGTTTAAGCTGCTATTGTATTTCCCCTTTCCCTACCCTTTTAATTGACCTGTGTGTGTTTGCGTTGCCCCCTCATTGAGCCTGTGCGTTTGTGTGTTTGTGTTCACAGAAAGGCCTAAAGAATGTGTTTGATGAGGCGATATTGGCTGCACTGGAGCCCCCAGAGCCCAAGAAGAAACGCAAATGTGTGCTGCTATGAGAGGCTCCTCCTTTTTCAGAGCATACACACATAACGCATACATACATCTTAAATACACACACTCATATACACAGACACTCATATATACACACACACACACACACACACATACACCCTCCCCTGCCACCACACCCCTTTCCCTCGCTCTGCTAAGGTTGGTCGACAGCATTGTCCTCCACAGAGAAGACTAGACAGAAAACAGCCTACAATGTTTCAGATAATTCTCTGCAATAATAAGAAGCTTCACCCTTAAGTCTTGAGTTTGGGACAGAAGATCAACCTAACCTCGCCAACAGGCTGCTGTGGGCTCCGGGCAGGGTGGCGTAGCCTCCAACGGGGATCCAGACACCAAGCTTACGTACAAGTAGAACTCATTCTGTGGAGCTTTTGATAGATTGATTTGGATTCAGTCAGTGTTGTGGCCTAATCAACTTTTAGATGCCCAGCCATTTAGACGTCCTCAGCCAGTGTAAAGTTTTCATGGATATAAGCCCCGCCCCAGCCCCTCCCAGCCACCTGATTGGTGGCTGCTCATGCTGCTGGTCCCTTCCCCTCTGTTGACGAGCACACTCATCGGCCGATCCCTACCTTCTTTCTCAGCACTACCAGAAGAATTGCTAACAAAGTAGTGTTGTTTTGTTTCTGTTTGCCAACACCCCTTTTCTCCTCCAACACAAGTCTGAGATATTTATTCCATGTTCCAGACAGACGCGCTCTTAACCACTAAGGAAACCGTGTAGATCCGACAGGGATCAGTAATTCAGAGCAATACAAGTAAAACTCCACACAGCTCTCACCGAGGAAATTGAATCAGCAAATATTGCCATCTAGTATCCAGTCCTCTTAGTGTGGACGTTCACAGCGCAGAGTCGCAGTCCATTTTGGAGTGTGGTAATCACTTGAAGAGCTAAAGGCATCCAGTAGTAACGGGTCCACTTGTCGACCGCAGGAATTGGCCTTCTAGATGCAGGGAACTTAAACAGTGTTAGCAGAACAAGCGGTGTGTTCTTTATGCGTTGCCAGGGACCAAGGGGGGGGGAATGTTTTAACATTGTCATCACTGTACACTCAGAGCGGGTACAGCAGAGACAGCCACATAAAGCAAGTGTTCCTTGGCGTGCACTGACAGCCAAATCTGGAGAACTGTACTTAGACAACTGATCAATGAACATGAATTTCCACCACAATTCTGTGCCAGGTCAGAATTTGGTGCCTTCCTGATGTGTTTTTGATTCGTCTGAGGAGCTGAGGGCTGTCCGCTCTGCTGCACGCGCTCTAACTGTACGCTGCTGCGTGTAGCTGAGCCTTGGTCTCTGTTCTAAATGACTGGTTTAACAGATGTAATTATAATGTAAGCTGGCACACAATGTTGATGTAGGCTCCAGGTGTTTTTACCAAAATATTTTGTTTTCTTCATTATTTCTGTTTGTGCTGTTTTTTTTTTTATTTTATATATATATAAATATATAAAAAGAAGGTTACTTTCACTCCTTTTACATTTAGGGGTCGGAACCCATCTGAACTCTTCCCTGCCAGTTTATACCAAGAAAAGCTCTGATTGGTTTAGTTGAATAAAAACCTCCAATGGCAGAGAGACTGTTTGGTTAAGATTATTTGTGATTGGTTGGTTCTTGTTTTTCTTTACTGGTGGCTTAGAGTTGGGTTGATTTCCAGCCCAAGTCAGTATAATTATTATAACCTGTTGTTGTTTTGGTGCAAAACCAAATGCTCTGTCTAAAGTCTTTGTTCTTTGTATATGCATTCTTTTAAAAAATATTAAACTTATACCTTAATTGCCTTTACCACTTCTACCTTGCCATTCTTTTTGGTTTTTATTGTGACTGGTGAACAACAGAATGACCTGTCCACCTAACAATAGTTTTCAGTTCATGATTGTGTTGGATGCTAGCTCATGTTTGAATAGTGTCAAGGGAGATCTTTTGTCATCCTTCAACATCAGACATCTGACCCACATAGTGGTGGACCCTGTGCCATGTTAAGGTGGCAGGCTACATTTGTTAAGGCAACTAGGATCTCTACATCCAGTTTGTCTACTGTTCGGCTGTTAGTGTTCATCACAGCTGCACGAGCCTGTTGTGTCACGTTCAGCCAGCAGGAGGTGCTGTCCACCCAAACGTAATTGCCCCTGATGTTGGTGCCCCTCTTTTGGTCACAGACACACATACACTGCTGATGCTATTCACAATCCACTGGCCTGCATTTATTTCCACTTTAAAAACTGATAATTGGATGTTGACACTTGGGTTGTGTGTGCACATCACCCACAGAGGTAAGATGAAACTCAAACCACCCATGAAGATTTTTAAAATGTATGAAACAAAATGGAGAAAGGCAATGACACTGGTGCAAAATATTGAATATTAATATATGAAAGTGCTACATATTAAATGTGAAACAGTAGTATAATAGACTTAAAGTAATACTTTGTAGAGGCTGAATCATTAACAGGTCTGCAGAGGTCCATACAGGCAGTGCCAACATGTATAATGGCTTTTCCAAAGCTGCATAAAATGAATCTGGAACTGTCCTTTAACCCCAAACTGCCAAAGTGCAGCTTGTTGATAGCTGAATCGTGACCAAGATGTATTTCAGTCAGCCCCACACATAAACTAACTTTGAGACATAAATGGCTTGCTTGGTAATATTTATAATGACAATGTTGATACCATGCTGTTTGCAGATAAATCATTATGGTCTGTTGGTGTAATGATCACAACAATGTTCATGACAAGTTATAACTTATCTATGGCAAACCAAAAATAATCAATCAATAAAAAAAATGGAGTATAGGTGTAGCCATAACAGAATCGGAATCAGAGATACTTTATTGATCCCTGTGTGGAAATTGTTGGCAGTACAGGTGCTCCTTACAAGAGTAGAAAGATACATTGTATAGTGCAAAAATATATATAGTAACTATCAAACATACACAGATAGCTACAGTGGCGAAAATAGATAATAAGCAGAATATATACAGTAAAGGTAAAGTTAAATTATTGCACAGAGTAATAACACTGTTAATTATTGCACAGATTATTGTATCCAGTCAGCAGTGAACAGTGGAATAAATATGTAATAATTTACTGGTTAAGTTGTTGACAGTGGGTGAAACAGTCTAAGGGCCATGAAAATTAATTGTAACATTTTGGTTGCCTAAAAAAGTCTTGTTCAGCCTCTGGTTGTACAAAAAGACCCTCTAAAGAGTTGGTCATTCAGTTTATCCAGTAAGTACATTTTGTTTAAATGGTTGTAAGCCTTTTTTTTCATGGGTACAAATTAGCATTAGCAATGTCACAGTTAACTATAGCTGTAAATGCACTGTGCTAACCAAGCTAGCAGCTAGCATTAGCGTTAGCTCCACTATCTAATCCAAATATGAAAACTTCTGGCTCCAAAAATCCAAGATGGCGACGGCTAACATGTCAAACTTGAGGATTCGAAACAGGAGTCAACAAATCAGTGGATGGCTATATCCATTATTTGATTTATTTTATGTAATTAACAAGATATTAATATTGTTAATTCAGAAAACAAGAATTTATGAGATTATTGTCTCATTAATTCAGATTCCAGAGCAGATTTGTTTTTTCTCTCAGGTGAATGCTTTTATCCTGTTTAAAGTTAAACTGATGAAAAGTAGACGTCAATGTGCTGAAAACTGATTTCGCATTTGATTTAAGAAAGCAATTTAAACTGCTTTTTGTGGTATTTTTTTTAACTGTGTGTAATGTGTTTGTGGGCCACCAAGTCAAAGACACACTTTCCATCCCTTTGTGAAGGACTGTAAAGATGTTCGGACCCTGTCTCTCCTTTTACCTGTTGACAAAGTGGAACTAGTTTTACCTCTCAAGCTCAGCCCAGTCGGCAGAAGAAAATGTTGGCATTGTACCTCTCTGCAAACCATGAATAAGTTACATTTGTAGGTTTCATACGTATCATATCAGACCACTGTTCAAGACCAACAAACGACAAAACCAGTTGAGTGTAAGAGTCATTTCTCTTTCCAGTGGCCTTTTACCCTCTAAACGTGGGTGTTTTTTTGCGACCCTTAACTGATTTTCCAGCCAAGACTGTGCCACAGAAAGTGGTTGTTTTTTTACTGAGACATCGCCAGCTTTGCCAGCTATGACTGTGCCACCAAATCTGTTTTTTTTAATCCCAAACATGATCTTTTCCTAACCATAACCAAGTGCTTTGTGCTTAAACCTAACCTCACATCAACCATAGCATTGTTGAAATGTAAAGTTTCAACTTATCCGCTTTATAATAACGTGCAATTGTCTGTGGTTTGTAGAAAGGTACAATGACAACATTTTTCTGGTGATTGTGTTAAGCCATAGTTCCACACACATGCACACAGACAGTATGTAACAGTGTGTTGGTGATGTTGGTGTTGAGAGATCAATTAACACACTCACACAGATGTCCAGAAATTCCTCAAATGACAGCAAATGAGGGCGATATCCCAGGTTTGGTGACCTGGATCATCTGAAACATGCAGTTAGAAGGGATGTGCACCCCACCCTCAGCTCCCTCCTCCACCCTCATCCACCCCTGCTAGGCGTTCACACATTCCCTGCGTTTCTGGAGTGCTGTCTGTCAGCGCCTTCTTCCGCTAAAGAGACGCTGACAGCCATTAATTATCACGCAGGCTGAACGAAGGGCATTCCTCTCTGCTGAAATATTAGCGTACACACATACACACACACACACACACACATGCTCCTCAGCCCTCCGTGTCCACACATACAAACGCAGAGAGACACCACCTGGCCTCCATTGGTCTTCATCATGTTTGACAAATGAGTCCAAATGTTTTGTCCTCTGGGGTCGTCCAATCACCATCCAGCCAGGCCGAGTGTCTCCTCTGGGTGGGACGAGCAGGCAGTGGTGGGGATGTAATGACCAGGCAACCTGCAGGACACTGAGGACACACACACAAACACACACAGTGCTGGTGGAAAGCTGCCTGTGTGTGTGTGCTGCACCCACTTTTATGAGACAATTTTATGATGATCTGCACAGATACTGACTTGTGATGAAAAACACGCTGAGGATTTAAGCAGTTTATCGGAGCTCAGCAGTAAATCAGTGTTCAGACGTGTCAGCTATACACTGTGCGAGGGCATGGCTGCTATGCGTGTGCATGAAAATAAATCTCCGAAGCTGGCTCGAGCTGTAGGACGCAGCCTGCTTAGCCGTGCCGGTGCTGAACCTTTGACAGTCTCTGCTGTTCGAGTGTCCAGAGCTCCTGCCAACACATGGAGCACAATGTGGTTTTCATGTAGATGTTGGCTGTGGTGTAGAGGTGCAGCTTTGGCCCAGTCTACCTGCTCTAAATGCTCTCCAGCAGGTAGGAGGAGGTGCACGAGTAAGAGAAATGGAGAGAGGCTATCTTTATTTTTAACTCATTGTAAATCATGTGGGGAAAGTTATCTCTGGGCTACAGTGTGAGCTGAAAGGTGCCCTGTCCTGCGAGCTGTCCATCACAATCTGTGTTGTTCAAGTAGAAAAGCTCCATGCAGATGGATGTATTCCTGTAAAGGCTGCTTGTATTTCAGGCAACAGTGCTGGAAGTTTGGCTTTTCGACTAAAATTAATGTTTAACATAGTTTTCCCACATAACAGTTAAAAAAATCTCTGGAAAGGGGCCCTCATTGAGAATTTTGCTTGTGGTATATTTCACTCTCCACCTTCTCTCTACGTTGAAAGAGCAGTGCACATCAAGATGGCTAGTGTTAGCATTAGCGGAAACATCGGAGGGATTCAGCACAGTCCCGGCATCAAGAGGGGGTCAAAACGTAGTATTTTCATTTTTAAAAAACTGTTATTTATTTATTTTTTCATTTTTTTTTATTGTTTTCAGTCTATGATGTGTTCAAAACAACCCAGAACTCAGAAAGAACTCCACTGACTTGTTAAAACCAAAATGAACATTTGGCAAATCCAAATTCCGAGTTTCCAGTTGTCCTTGAACCCATCACACAGTTTACGATACCTCGTCAGGGCATCATCCCATCGCAAGGAGAAAAAAAAAACAAACGAGGAAGAACAGATTTTCAAGCGCAAGCTAGTAGCTATATTTTCATTCAGGAATGGACATTCGCAAATGGCTGGAAAAGCCAGAAACTACACCGTCGGTATCCCTGCAGCCTGGCAGCAGCAGCAGGAGAACCGGAGAAGCCGAGGAACACCTGCCGAGGCCAAGTACGTCGGAGCAGCGGGAACTTCAGCCGAGCAGCAAGGAGAGTGAACCGCCCGCGCCGCCGCCCATAGCCTCTGAGCCGGGTTCACCGGGAGCGGAGAGCCTGTCATCGCACTCGCAGCAGCAGTGTGGTTTACCAGAGGACCTCGGAGCTGACAAGCCAGTTCAAGTTCGTCTCAAGCAGTTTCCAAAGAAACAACAGTATAATAATGACTGTAAACGGTCGTTTTCGGCTAATTGGTACAACAAGAGAGACTGGCTTGAATATTCGCAGTAAGCAGATGCCGCCTTTTGTTTTCCCTGCAGGAAATTTGGAGGGAGTGACTCCGTTTTCACAAGAACTGGATATACTAATTGGAAGCAGCTAATGATAAGGCAAAGGGATTTAGCAGGCATAGTAACAGTAAAGAGCATCAAGCATGCATGGCTAGCTGTAACTCTACTGAAGGTAAGAGCTGGGTATTTTATCATTTGTATTGTTGCTACTGTTTGTGTTTGTTAGCAATGTGGTTATTGATCATATGTTGTTGGACATGTTAGATCAGCACCGTCTGATCTGTGGAGTCTGATTTTATG